CTAACATTAATCAATTCATGTAAATCTATGTATACAATAGTTAACACATAATTGATTATTAAATGAAATTAGAGCTATGTAAGATTGATTTACATTAATCAATTCATGTAAATCTATGTATGGACAGAGGAGTCCACCACCTGTACCTTCTGTTCTTTCCATTGCCTTTTGTATGCTTGAACTCGTCTAATGTACACCTTCTTTGAATTTTCTTTTTTAGCTTTTACTTCTTCTATATCTAGTTTGCGTTTGATCCCTTTAGTCTTTAATTTTTCATCATTCTTATTAAGCTCCATAGGAATCTTTTCTTCCTTCACCATTGGACTCGTCTCTGAATAATCGTTAATCAAGTAAATGCGAATCAAATAAGAGTGAATATGATATGAATGAACACGAGATGTAAATATGATCTTGTTTCAGCTCTATTATACTTTCATAGTTTTACAGAGAGTACAAAAGACAAGTTCCATTAAGACTTCTTATCTAACTCTAAGTAAAGTTCCTATTTATAGGGACAAGAAAGTATACAAAAAGTACTAAGACATTTCATTTAAGCTTCGTACAAACAAACGTCTTAGTAAATACATTACAAGTACACGAAGGGTATGGTCTTCGACTTTGTAACATCGTAAATTTTCAAACAAAATTTTCATTTAAAAATCGCATACTTTTCATAGCATATTATATAAAAAACTCATTTATTCAATTGACAAAACACAACTCCATTAATAATCTAAGATGCTTATAACTCTTTCTATGGTGTGTAAAATCAAGCCGATGCCATCCTGTGATCCTGAGAAACCTGAAACACATAAGACATACACGGTAAGCACAAAGCTTAGTGATTTCGCCAATATACTACATACAGCGCATAAGCCACTCGAGGCTATAACTCAGTATGGCCCTCCGGTCAATGTGTCTCAACGGGACCCTCCAGTCCCGTAGCTCATTGGACCTTCTGGTCCGGTCTAGCTTGTTGGACCCTATGGTCCGATCTGGACCGTTGGACCCTCTAATCCGGTCTGATCGGGGACCCTCTGGCCTCATGAGTCGTTGGACCCTCTGGTCCGGTCTATATAACACATAACTTACATATAACACAACGCACATAAATCTGAAACATACACATACACATAAGACCCTCCAGTCTATAGATAGATACCACTCTAGGTAATGTATAGTGAGAAGACTCACCTGATAAGCAACAAGTAAAGACCTCGCTCCCGAATCTCGAACTAGCCTCCGCCTAATCACAAGGGATGAATATTTCTAAGCGATACTCTAATCACCACTCTAAATACCGAAGGATATTCTTCCTCTCTTTAACTCTTTGAAGTGGATAAAAGACCATTTTACCCCCTCCATGGTCTCTACTATTCATGTTGACCAAAGCCTCAGAGTCAACAGAAGTTAAACTCGAGTCAACAGTCCATGTTTGACCCGACTCGCCGAGTGCACCCTTGCCACTCATCGAGTCCACTTATTTTCCTCAGAAGTCTCGTGACAGTCCAACTCATCTTGTTGAGTTGACCCCCCAACCAACTCGTCGAGCTATCGGATGATTCAGTTCTTTGGCACAAACCCAAACCAACTCGTCGAGTCGGCTCATTGACTTGGCGAGTTCATTCAGACCAAATGTTCATTCAGATGATTTCAATCAGATGTATCACACCAAACAATAGATCTATCATCCCAAGGCTCAATAATCACGTAAAGCTTTGATCTTTACGTTCATACTCGAGGTTATTGCTCCAAAATGATAATATATGCCTTTCATGAAGGATTTAGCTCATCAACCCTAATTTCAACGAATAAAGCTGGGACACCTAGACTCTAAGGACCTTTGGAGGTCCAGATCTGAGGTTTCCAACCTTAAACCATGTCTTATTTAACTCATAGATGCAAAAGGATGGAAGCAAAGCCCTAAAACTCCCAAAATGACATCTAGTACAAGGAATGAGCAAGATGAGGACTTTGTACCTTATTCCAGCAGCTGAAGCACTCAATACCACCGATCCACTGCCTTCCTTTGTTCCCCATCATGAAGCTCTTCATCCTTCTTCATAGAAATGCACCAAGATTGCCCAAAATGATCACACACTCACTTTACCAAGGTTAGAACAGTTTAAGGGTTTTTCTCATGCTCTCAAGGGAAAGTGTGGCCGCAAATGAAGGCCATAAGGGCCTTTAAATAGGTCACAAACCCAGAAAATTAGGGTTTCTTTACCCAGTACCTACTCGGCGAGTGCCTCCTCTTACTCATCAATTCCACTCATTAAATCCACACGATTAACTCGACTCGACTCGGCGAGTTGGTCCCTCATCTCGTTGAGTCCCTCCTTCAATCTCAAGATTAACATACACAATAATGTCCATGAAAATCTGGATGTTTCAGAATCATTACAATATGTCTTCAACCCTAACAATCTCCCCCTTTGGAATGAAGTCGAATTCTCAGGTTGTGAGAATCTGGATGGCATAAATCATCACCCTTCGAAATTCAGTGTACCATAATATAATCTTCTTCAGCTCGTTCTTATCTCATTCGTTATTCTTCTTGCAATTATTCATATGAACAATGAAGTTCGTATATTGAGACGTTGTATATCTTTCAAGTTTAGTGACCTGGAACAAAAATCTCTTCGACTTTCCAGCCTTATCTTTACTAGCAAAAACCAAATCGGAAGGCTTCAAACATGTTTCCCCATCAACATATTTCTTCAGTTCTTGCTGAGACTTGGATGGCTCCATGGGTACTTTGACTTCAACTCCTTTCATTGTCGCTAGCTCCACATCAGTAAGTGCTAAGAACTCATAATAGTTCTCGAAGAAAATCTTGATGTGAGCCACTCCCACTAAAAAAACATCAGGTTACGTTTCTCGAAGATATGAAGAATTTTTATCTTTAAGAAGAAGAGCCATTTGAATAAGGTCATACAAATTCAATAGAGGAAAATCTGCGACTATGAAATCACAAGTTTGACCATTCACCCTTGAAACAATGAATTTAACATTTTTCATCATGTTTTCGAACAATACATCCATCTTGATGCTTATAACCTTCTTGATTTTTATCAGTGACCAGATTTCTTCAGGAGCCTTCATCAGAACTGTATGAAAATAAAGCTTCATGTAGTTATATTCATCTTCACTCTTGAATTTATCATACACTTTGAATCGAGGCATGAGAAACATCATCTCATTGATTGGAAAATCCAACTGACACATGTCTGCATTCGAAACCATGTAACTCTATTTCGGTTTCTTCTCAAATGCATACATGTGGTTGTAAGCCACCTTCACCTCTATCATTTTCTAGTTATAAAGTTTGGCAGGATCTCCTTTGTTCAAACCTAGAGGATCACTAGCCCTTTGTATCATTACACTTTGAACTACCCTCAACTTTTCTATCTCTGCTTCGACTTCTATTTTCTTCTCTTCTTTTGAATTTTCAACAACAATTGTCTTGCATTTGCCTGTTGATTTATCTGTAGCATCCTTTGTTTTCGAAGCATCATCTTCACCAGTAGATGACCCAATAACAATCCCCTTCGTAATTGGATTTGTGATTGGCATGGATGTTACAACAGTTGAAGTAACTGGTCCAACACTCGAAATTGTAGGCTTAGTCGATGGAATCTTCGAAGGCAGAACTTTACCCACAACCTTAGCTTCTCCCTGTGAAGCATCACCTCCAGCCTTCGCATGAGATCCTTCTCCAACTCTCCTTTCTCCCCCTTGCAACCCTGTTCTAATAGGTGGGACAGCAGTTGGAAGAAGATTCGAAATAGTTGACAATGGAGCTAGTTGTTTATGAAGACTAACTTCGAATTGTGTAAACTTTTAGGAAAGAAACTCTTGAGTAATAATGGAAGATGTAGCAGGTTTGAGCACTGACTCCTTTAAGTATTTAAGCATTGAGATGACCTCTCCAAATTGTTGATTGTGAGTTGTAGAAAGTTGAGAAATTTGAGGACTCAAGCTTTCATACAATGTAACATACTTCGTGACAGCATCACAAGCGATATCGAATTTCTTATGCAGAATGGCATAATCATTCTACACAATTGCAACTTCACGAACCATGCCATCACGAAGCTCTTGAAGCTTCTGGTTCACATCTTCTCTCACCTTCTTCACGTCCATAACAAACAACGTATGTCGTTCATTTTGAATATTTGTTAATTCTTTCACTGCTCCAACATACTTCGAATCGAAAGAATTGATCCTTAACTTTGTTGTTTGATCAGCTTGATCAATCTTCTCCAGGATTCTGGATTCTGAGTCTCTGATCATACCAGATACTCGAATCATCATTCTTGCCTCAAAAGCTTTCATTAACGCATCAATTTCAAAAGTCGAAGTCAAACTTCCTCCTCCCATGTCTGCTTGTGACTGAATAATAGAATTAAGCTTCTTATTCAGAATTTCGAATTGTTTCATGGACATGAGCATATGATTAGGAGAATCCTCCTTTTCTTCATCAAAGGCCAAATCTTCAAAAGTATCGCTAAAGCCTCCTTTTTCATTATCAGAGTCATCATTTGGGTTTGGTGGATTGAGATGAAAAGATGGATGTAAAGGGCTGATCAATGATGTTTTGGAAGGTTGGTGAATAAGTGGTGGAAGTAGTAGAGATGATGAATGGAGGTAAAGAAACAAAGGTACCTATAACAGGTTCAATAGAAACAAGAATTGGAGTACCTTGTAGAGGTTCAGTAGTTTCCTTCGTTAGGTCTGCTTCACTCATGATGGCATTTGCACCTGTATCAGATACATTTGCAGTGATGTATGAAGTTCGTAACTCCTCATGAGATGATTTGGTAGACGAAACTTCGGGTGGTATGACAACAATCTTCTCAGGAGAAGTAGGCTGTATAATAGGTTCGGTTCGGGTGATTCTGGCACTTGTTCTTCTTCAGATGAGTCCGTTGGAATGACTAGTTGCCTCTTCTTTGTCTTCTTTTTCTTCGAAATCTTTTTGGCCATATCCTCAACTCTTCGTTTCTTTGAGTGAGGAGAAACTGGAGCTAGGACTTCGCGCATAAGTACTCCTTGGTGAGTAAGACGAGTTTTGAGAACCACATTCGAAGTAAGAGAACCAACATACTTCAGCTTTAATTTGCGAAAAACTCCAGTCTTCGAAGGAATAATAACTGAAGTTGGTTCTGTAACAACAGGTTCAATAGGTTTTAATACAGCTTTTGAAACTACCTCATCAACCTTCGTCTTTAGAGACTTTGATGTATTTGTTTCTTTAATAATCAGCTCAGGATTGATGGTCTCATTCTTGTTTGAAGTCGTAGACTTCTTCGAAGGACCTGCACCTTCTTTCGTTAACAACTTTCCAATTTCAACTTTGGGATCAATTGTTTTCATGTATGCATCAAGTACAACATTTCTTGGATCAACTTTCTTTAACATGGCATCTGGGATTCTTGCAACATGTGAAAAGATTTCTTGATCATCAGATACTTCCTTTGAAAAATTATACTTCAAAAAATCTACTGTTTCCTCCTCAACATCCACCAGAATACCCTCTTTATCATAAAAATACCTGAGAATAAGACTCCAGTATCATGCACATGAAATCCCTTGCACGACATTTGTATCCTCTACACTCTTTTGAAATTCTTTCCATAGCTGTGTAGAATAGTCCACCGATATATCATACTAGATACCTGCAAACATTGCATATACTTCCATTCTTCATTTATCTAGCCTAACACTTCAACCTATTAAGCACCGAAGAAAAATTCCAAACAAGAATTTCCAGATCGTCGGAAGAACAAATTTTTTAAAATCACTGATATTGGTGAGTGGGGGTTGATGACCCATGTCGTTGAACATGTAGTTCAATTGATCAGTAGAAAGAGTAGTAAACAATTGGGAGTTCGGAATATCCAAAATTTGACATAACAACTTCTTCGTTAATTGTACCTTCTTATCATTCACCATGTTGAAGGTAATGACATCAAGGTCTTTAGAATATGTTGCAGTAGAACTTGCTTGAGAAATCCAGGACATAGGTACTGCAAAAGAGTTGAACATAGATGTCGAAAGAACACAACTCTTCAAAGCAATGACCAACATCTTCAATCCTTCAGGGTATAAAGATTCATCCCCTTCTACTTGATAATTAATTCCTTGAATCTTCATTATTGGTTGCGAAGTAACATCTTTAGTGGTTTGTGATGGTGCATCAACATGAGTTTGATCAGCCATGACTAGGGTGGTAAAATCGTATAAAGAACAATTAGATTTTTCAGTGAGAATTTGAGAAATTTTCTTCTGAAAGCGTAAACTGATAACAAACCCTTGAATTGATTTGTATATATAACACTGAGATTTGAATTTCAAACGGGATGTGCATTTAATGAATCCGACGTGGCACCTTGAAACTCGCACCACTATTCCGATAAAGTAGCCACACGTGAAAAAGTATCTGTCAGTTCTCCTTGAAAACCGGAAAGAATACAAGACATCGCTTCTTACAGCCTGTTGATTTCCCCCAATGTAATATGAATCGTCAGCAACCTTCAGATGGAGGTTAGGCTCTTTCACGTTTGGGATTTAAAGCGAAGCCCTGTGCCAGACTTTCGAAATCATCAGCCTGAGTTGTACTACTCAGAACCTCAAGGATTTCGTGAGTGCAGTGTGCCAAAGAGAAAGATAAGAAGCAAATAAAGAAAAACTATGGATTGTTATGTCAAAATTATTTCGACACGAAAGCAATTAAACCCCGGGCAAAGGTTACTTCGTTAATTACCAAGAGAGACAATCAACTGCGTGTGTGGTTTCCTGTAAATTTCAATTGAAAACTTATTGAGAAGTTTCAAAGGGCTTCTTTTTCAAGGCTTCATGGGTGGGTACACGAGTTCGTTACATATCATCCAAAACATAAGGTGAGAAATTGTAACAGAAATCACTTGTTTAACCAGTGTAGTCAGTGACAAGTATGCTTTGAATTAAATTTGAAAGTTACTTAGAAATAAATTGAAAGTCACATGGAAATCATATTCATGAAAAAATTTGTGTTGGATCCTATTGGGTAACGAACATCATATATTACGATAATTTGATCAAGATCACTCATACAAAATGCATATGATTTGGAGTTTCGAATCTTGGTACAGAAACAAAAGTTTTGTAAACAACTGGAACAAAGTTCCCTGTCAATTCCTTAAAATATTGAGAATTGGGTTTCACTTTCATCACGGTCTCATGATGTCAGATCATTAACACAAATTTTTGATATATCTAAGTCTCGATTGGTTTGATCGAAGACCTCTTGGACATATGTATTTGTGTGTGATTGTGTAAGAATGTTTGGATGAAAAAGATTGGTTTAAGAATTCGTGTGTACCTCTGTTATGATGGACAAAACAGTAAACTGTTAACTCATGTTAGAAGAGTCAGGTAGCTCATTTGACTAATGTGAATATAAGCCTGTCTTGGGAAGAAATTTTCGTATGAAATATTTCATTAAGAATTTTATTAAACACACATAGAATCATTCAAGGCTTTGGTCAACATGCTGCAGCATGCTTCTATGGACAACTTAACTAGTTTAAGAATTTCGGAAGAATTACCTGACCTTAGAACTGCAAGCATTAACTATTGAGAATCAGCTTTGTTACCTGAAACAAAACATGAAAACAAAACAATACAAAACAAAATATTTTTGTGATTTTTGATTTTTTGAAAATAAAAGAAAAAACAAATAAAAATCTTTTTGTTGTTTTTTAATTTTTCGAAAAAAAATTACTTAACGAAAATATTTAAAATGTACCGGACACACGAATTTTCCAGTTTTGAATTTACGAAGACGAAGGGTAATGAAGCGTTGACTATGAACAGTAACCGTTGAATTTGACAGTTGTCCCCCGGTATTACTATTCTTTCAAATTGAACCCCCTTCGATCATTCCAAGTCCACCTAAAATTCTCACAAACGATTTTTCATCTAATGGTTTTGTGAAAATATCAGCTAGCTGGTCTGTGGTTTTTACAAAATGCACTTCAATATTACCATCTTCGACATGAGCTTTTATGAAATAGTAACGAACATCAATATGCTTAGTCTTCGAATGCTACACTGGATTATGAAAAATACGAATTGCACTTTGAGAGTCACAATATAACGGAATTCTTTTCATGTTTATTGCATAATCACGCAATTGAATTTGAAACCAAATTATTTGTGATATGCAAGCAGCAACAACTACATTAAGCTTCAGCAGTTGAAATTGATACACATGTTTGCTTCTTTGATTGTCGCCTCACCAATTTTCCATCCAGTAATTGACATCCTCCACTTGTGCTTTTGCGATCAAGATTTCAACCACCTAAGTTAGCATCTGAGAAAGCTTGAATAAAGAAACCAGTTATCAAAGGATACCACAATCCTAACGAAATTGAGCCTTTGAGATAACAAAAAATATTATTGACTGCAGTAAGATGTGGTTCTCATGGATTTTACTAGTACCTAGAACAATTACACACATAAAACATGATATCAGGTCTACTTGCAGTGAGATAACGTAATGAACCTATCATGCTTCGATAAAGTGTTAAGTCAACTGCAGGTTTGTCTAACAAAGGTGTTAGCCTTGTTCCAGTTGCCATCGGTACTTGTAATTTTGTGCTATTCGTCAATCCAAAATTTTCAAGCAAATTCTTTGTATACTTTTCCTGGTTGATACAAATTGCTTCTCTGTTTTGACGAATATTTAGACCAAGAAAATTATTAATTTTTCCCATCATTTTCAAATTTTCTTTTCATTAGATTTTCAAATTCTTTAGACAAAGCAGGGTCAGTAGAACCAAAAATAATGTCATCGACATAAATTTGAACAAGCATAAGATGATTCCCAACTTTCTTTAGAAATAATGTGGGGTCATATGATCTTTGTTTAAATTTCGATTGTTTTAAGAAAGAGGTAAGAGTTGCATACCAGGCTCTTGATTCTTGTTTTAACCCATAAACTGCCTTATCTAAAATATAACAATAATCAGGATGATCTTTATTGACAAAACCTAGGGGTTGTTCCACATATACTGTTTCTTTGAGCTCTCTATTCAAAAATGCACACTTAACATCCATTTGATATACATCGAAATCTTTGTGAGCTGCATAAGCCAGAAATATACGAACTGCCTCGAGTATTGAGACAGGGGAGAAAGTTTCTCCATAGTTTATTCCCTCTTGTTGTAAGTAACCTTTTACAACAAGTCAGGCTTTGTTTCGAATAATGTTTCCATCTTTGTCGGTTTTATTTTTGAAAATCCATTTTAACCCGACAATCGAATTATTTTCAGGTTTAGGAATTAATTTCCAAACCTTATTTCGTTCAAACTTAGCCAAATCAGATTGCATTGCAACAAACCAATCAGAGTGTTCCATTGCATCCTTAATTGTCTTTGGTTCGATTTTGGAAATGAAAACATTGAACATGCAAAATTCTTGATGAGTATTTAATACCTCATTCTTTGCACGAGTTGAGCTCTCGTTAAAACTCCTTTTTGTGGATTCCCAAGTACTTGTTCTTTCGGATGATATTTTGTCCATTTTTCGAGTGGTGGATAAGTTGGATCAAAATCCAAATGTGCATCTTCGTATAAATCTTCATTTTCTGATCCTGCAACAGAAAGATTATCATTAATTTCGTGAAATTCATCATTTAGATCAAGACTTATTGTATCACATTTATTTAGATTCCGTTGCTCCCCCTCAACATCTTCGTTCATTCTCCTATTCACCCCCTCGAAAGAATGCTCCCCCTCAATTTGAGTATTCATATCGAAGTGCTCCCCCTCCACTGGATTATTTAGCATACTTTCGCCAATTCTTGGAGAATTCGATGTTGAAAAATTACCATCAGAAATTTGGGTAAGATCCGATCCCTCATTGTGCTTCGAAGAATCTGATTGATTATTATCATTCGCACAAACTTCAACATCTATTGCCCTATCAGGAACACCAAAAAATTAAATCGTAATCAAAATCAAATGAAGTTATAATTTCAGTTTCATCATTTGATTCATTAATAATTGACTTTTGTTCGAAGAGTTTGTCAACTTGTTTAACATAATAGTCATCAAAAGTAAGATTGAATGTTTCTTCGACTTTTCGTGTTCGTTTATTTAACACTCGATATGCAACCGAATTGTGCGAATATCCCAAAAATACTCCGTCGTCAGCCTTAGCTTGAAACTTCAAAAGATTATCCTTGAGATTCATGATGAAGCACCTACAACCAAACACATGGAAAAATTTAACATTTGGTTTTTGATTATTTATTATTTCATATGGAGTGATACTGAAACGTCTATGAATAAACAAACAATTCTGAGTAAAACATACTGTGGATACAGCTT